CTGGTTATATACATTCATAATATTTACATGTATAATCCGGTTTTAGGGTATACAAAAAAAAGAATAATCTCACAATTTTCTCTTATTCAGCCTTCAGGCTTTTAATTCTTTAGACGATAACGGGCTGCATTTTATGGCACTCTTTGTCTTTATATTCACTCATTTACTATGGTACTATTCCATCTTAAGCACATACAGATTTTCTTTTGTATACCCTATACATGCAGGGCCTTTTCTCCACAATCACCAGTTCACAAAGCTTATCAGAGGTGAAGCTGGACTCAGTGCCTTGCTTCAGGATACTTTGTTGCCTTCTGGCTGGAGGACACTTACGTGCACAGCAGAACAAGTCTTTCATTTTAAAAATTGCCTCGGTAGATCATTTTGGTCGGACGGGTTGGCAACTGCGTTATATTGCAGAATTCTATCAGAATATTACAAAAATAGTTTAGATGGTTTTCCTTCTCCCCTGTCCAGCCGTCAGACTAACATGTTTGGCCATCAGTTAACTCTCTGAGCCACTGTGCAGCAGTTGTGTGTTTGTAGCTAAGCAACTGTAAGTCCACACAACAGCTCTGTGAAGGGTTGTTTCTCCCCCAGCTATGAGTCAGAGGTTTGACAACAACAATGCATTATTTTTTGCAAAGATAACACTAAAGTATTTCATCCCAAGTGTGTACATCTGCTGTGATGGAAGCTATACGTTTTTAGGATGTCTGGCTAAATACTAACAAAATAGCTATGGCAGGAACATCAAGAATTGATGAAGCCTCTGAGTTTGTATTTTGTGTGCAGGTTGGAGGCAATGGTCGAGCTTCACAGAGAAGCCATTTCAAGCTGGGAATGTCAAAAAATGTCAAAATAAATGCATGCAAATGAAGAGCCCAATCTTTGAGGTTTTCCTTGTTCCTCATCAGATGCTAAGCATGGGTGAGCAAAATGCTAACTATTTAGGAGTATCATTCAAGACTATCCATAGTCTATATAACCTCTCTGGTTCTATATTTATGTACGGCACAACTCTTTATGAAGCTTTCATGAGGTCTCAAGGTGTTGGGACTGTAGCTGGAAACTTCAAACATTTTTTAAAGTATTACTAAACTCGAATAATTAGCATAAGAAAAGTTGGATAAGCTTTCATCCCACAGGGTGTAGGGAGGCTGAGCCTGGGCCTGCCAAAAAAATCACTTGCAGTTGCTGAGGTTCCTGCTTTCGTGGAGAGTTACTTTTAGCACCTGTACATCAAAAGCATGTCTACCCACCTATGTTGTGACTGCACAGAACTTAATAATGGTTAGCCTTGAAAATGAGACTCTTGTTTTCCCTGTCTTTTTTTTTAACTAAAAAGAGGCAAAAAAAAATATCTGTGGTATAGAAATACTGCTCTGTCAAGCCTTGTTTTGGTGCTAATTAGTCCAATTAGCCTTCCCCTGTCTCACAGTTCTAAACAAAGGAGAGCAGCAGCTCTGCTCGGCTTAACCAGCCATGCAGTTTGATGTGTGGCAGTGCTGAAAAGCTGCAGAAGCCTCTAGTTACAGACACAGACGCAGGCTACTTTAAACAGTTTCAGGGCATCCTTCCTTCAGAGGATGAAGCTGCATGCTGTCTTTTCTGTTGAAACATTTCGTGTCTGTCCCTTTAGCAAGATTGTGACACAGAAACATGGTTTTGTGCGTTAAGAGACATATTCCAAAGTGGAGGTAAAATTCCCACATAGCTGTGGTTTCATAAAAGGGAGTGCTTACGGACATGTTCCATATCAGCCTCTGCATTGTGCGATAACAGATTTTGCAAACAGGTGCACGTGAACTAGTTAGATTCAGCTGGGCAAAGAACTATCAGGAAACCTGTCACTGGGAGAATATTAATCGTCGGTTCCTCAACTACAGCTTTGTGACAGCGGTGGTTTATCACCTTGAAATTACCCACATCCTCTCACAGCCCCAGCTCCTCTAAGAACAATAGAAACAATGCAACTACAAACATTGTGGATATGCAGAAGGATATTGACCCTATACTCTCATTGCACCAGTACTGTTTTCTAATTGCAGACAGAAGAGAATATTCAGAATGTTCAAATATTTCTACCCTCAGGTTGAGTAATACTAATTGCTTGTGAGTTTCACAACAGAAAAGAACATTTTTGTGGGGATTTCATCAAATCCTCATGTTCAGCAATCAGTGAGGGAATGGCAAACACTGTTCTTCTTATCTTTACTCTATATTCTTAAAAGCTGAGAGCAAACCAGAGATGAAGCATAGTATCACAAGCTCTACGCAAGCTGCATGATGCAGCAGATGAAGGTGTTAATCAAAACCTACATCCAAGAACCTAGTGCTGTTTATTGTTTCGTCCCGTTTTAATAATTGGAACATGGAGTTAAAATATGGTAATGCCCTCATTTTCTACAGATAATGCCTGTTTTTGATGTATTCTTCCCATCTGCAGCTGTTCCCAGAAACACTCTTTGTTGAAAAGAGGGCAGGCAGGAGAGGCTTCTGGTTGCTGTCTCAATAGAGTTGTGCTTGCGATGGCCAGGCAGGCTGCTTGCAAACTTCATATCATGTTTTCTCTCCTGCAAATGCACTGCTCGTGTTTGCGAAAACTGTCACAACAACTTGGCCAAAAGCTACAAGATAACAAGTGAGTCTATTGTGGACAGAAATGTGGATTCAATTAAATGGGTAACAACGCCAGCATCTTTCAAGCTACATAGAGTAAACAGAAAGGAGAGAAATAACGGGTATTTCATCATCATATGTAATAAGAAGGGCACATAGCCTCTTTGACATCCAGCCATGGTCTGTGGACTGAAGCTGAAAAGTTATCCATCTAAACAAAAGCAAGAAACAAGTGCTGGCAAGCTGGCCTTGTTACATGGCCAAGTCATCTGTAATATTTCTTTGTAAGGTGATTGCCTCCCGTAAGTGGTCAAAACATCAAGAAACTAAAATGTGTCACCTCTTCTAATCCAGTGTAAACACCCTATCTAATTTAGAAAGATATGCAATGTTGACATAATCGACAAATAAGACAAAGACAACAGCATGAACCAAAACAATGCCTGTCATCCTGTAACCAACCCCATAAAAAAAGAGCACGATGAATATTTTGTGAGCTTTCCCCTTTTTGTAGCGGTGTCCAAAAGTGTATTATGAAACTCAACGTACAATACATAAAACACTCCACTGTAGAAAAACCAAACTGTGTTGTACTGCATCGAGATGCATCGATCCAGGTCAATCAGTTTTTAATGAGCAAAGCCTTTCGGTGCACTTCAAAGATAGAGAGCATATAAATATTAGAGGATTGTTCACCAGGTGAAACGAAACATCACACTAGTCTGAATGATTTTGGTATACTGTATGCTGCGAGACCAGATCACGTCTTCTGCAGATCTGTATGAGCACATGACCCTCACAGTTAAGTTTCTCTGACTTGTTTGATTTTACACCTCGTGGATTGATTGATGAGGTCCCAAAGGCTTGCTTTCCATTTCATACTGTACACAGGATCACTTTTCACCGTTGACTAACCGACTCAAATACCAAAGTAGCGTCAGAGAAATTAATTCTCCCTTACCTTCTCTCTCATAGTTCATAATTGCAGAGCTACCCTCTCAACGGAGTACCACAGAAATCGAGCCATAGCGACCCTCTGCCAGTGATCAAAGCCTACCCAACCCGACCCTGGAGACGAGGGAAATGAGAGAGGGAGAGGAAAAGAGAGAATCCACACATACCATATCACGTCTCAGCCAGAGCTACCTGCTTTACATATGAAGCACACCCTTTAATTCCCATGAAATCATGCAGGAAGCAGTTATTGCAGAAAAGAGAAGAGGAGGAAGTGATGTGGAACGGCTTGAGGGGCCATGACAGAGAATCCTTCATTACGCACTGGTCACAGCTTTAGCATATTACCTCTGTGAAAACACACACTCTCACCCCAGGGCGTGAACGCCAACGGGAGTAGATTGTCTCATCCTACGTCTTGTCTTTGTGGCTTCTCTGTAGACAAACATGCTGTTAGACTTATCGGCATGTCTATGCTTCAGCTTGTTCTACATAGCAAAAAGAGTTTGGTTTAGATCTCTCTCTGGGTTTGAGAAGTCAAGGGGACACATTATTCCCACTCTGAGATCTTGATTCAGGACTCAATGATAGCATCTACAAATTGCACAATGAGCAAAAAAGGACCTATTTATCCTGTATTGACCGATCATAATTTCCAGGTCTGTTGTTTTTTAATCTGCATATGTCACCCTCTATTTTCAAGAATAACTAAAAAATAAAAAATAAAAGAGTGGCTGAGAGAGGCTAGGTGTTTCCCTGTTTTGTTTTAGACTTAGTGTCACAATGTCCGCAAGATTTTCTTTAATGTAATCCAAGTCTGCTCAACCCAAGGATGAGACCCCAAGTTAGACAGACCTTATCCATGAGCTTTTGGAGCTGAACTCAACTGCGCTGCTTGGGTATAAGAAATAGCCGATTTGAGCCACTCAGAAAAAGAAAAGCAAAACAATCAGAGCCTGAACCTGATTATGGATTATGTTTACATAAGTTTTTCTCATTATTCAAATTTGTGCTTAAATAAGCACTGCCATCATTGGGATAAAAAGATGGAGCTTACACCTTGGTCTGTGATCACTGAATCAATTAATGAACTCACCTCCTTTTTATAGAGAAATCACTCTTAAAGCAACATGATCTTAATCACTGATGAGTATTATGAGGCTATTAAGTCTGATGAGTGGAACGAAAAGGCTCTCTTAAGACGTCTTCTTCCATAGAAGGGTGATGTGTTGTTTGGCAAGACATCACAGGAGATGCATCCTGACTCATCTATCAGATCCATGTAAATCCATTTGTTTCTCTATTCATTTGTTGATGCAATTCAAAGAACAGCTTGCTAGAATAGAAGCAAAAATGACGCAGTAAATATCTTCATCACGACATGTAGAGAAACACAATTCTCAGTTCATATTCAATTAATTTTATTGGTATGGAAAATATTGCATCCATTGTATTTAGATTATGTGTTTCTTTTTTGTACCACCAAGCTACAATTTTGGAGATGTACTAAAACTCTATATTTACTGCTAAATACATACAGATATCTCATGATTTTAAATCAATTCAGTTTGCATGCTCAGGTGCTCAACTAATATTATTATCATGCAAAAATATTTGACTTTGGGACTTTAAAAAATATGGCATATGCAGGTATATTCATCCTTTTTTTAATGGTCATAACTGATGTTCTCACAATAGCTATAGACATAAACCAACTCCTTTCCGAAATACAGCATTTTCCTTACCGGTAGCTCAGGTATTTTGTCTTGCTACATTTTAAATTGATTCTTTGTTTTCAGGCAGATTACACACTCAAGGCTTTTATCCACATTTTTATCCATCTTTTCTTTCATAGCCAAAAGAGTGCTCCTGTTTATTTTAAGGTTTTGTCATCATGAATACAAACCATTGAGTCTTGAATTTGTTTATGCTGTATTATGGATATTTTAATATTTAAGTAATTTTGTGGTCATCCATATTTGATAAGACATAACTTGGGACAGATTGGATAAATAAGTCATCAGTAGTTTCTTTTTTGTTCAATTGTTAAACCTCTCAGCATCCCACATCATTGTGAGCAGTGAGCTGTTTGCTCACATAACAGATAAAAAGACAGTGCAAGCATACTGAAAATCTATTAAGACTTTAATTTTCTTATTGCTTTTCGATACATTTTGGACAAAAATTGTGTCTTTTGCAGGAACGAGTTACATAATAAATAAAGCACACAAATTTTATTTTGTGTCATTTTTCTTCATGAGGCATTCATAGCAGCAAGTGGCCAACTGAATCACAGTTACCTTAAACACTCCAGTGACTGAAGTTCTCATTTCACACTCAGTTTAAAACAAAAGTGTCCAACCAGTTAAACTGTCACAGGGGTGTTGCAGGAAACTCTGCTCCAGTATTTGGAAATTAAATAAGGAACCAGGGAAACGGAAGTATCAGCCCTGAAGCAGTGGAAGTCACAGGAGGTAGCATCTTACTCTCCTGCCAATCTTTTTTTTTTAAACAAAGCAAGCAGTGTTTATTGATGGCTATGATTATCGTAGCCATCCGTCCACTTTAACCTGCATATTTTTTGTGGTCTCTGTCATGAAAGCTAAACAAGAATTCCTTCTTCTTAAAGCTGTCGTGTTGTGCTGTGTGTTTCACCCCTTGTTGCTGGCTTATACTCAGAAGAGGAAAACAGACATTCTGAAACACTGAACATCTGTACAGAAACAGCTCGACATTAGTGTAAGCAGGAAAATGTAAGATCTTAGATTTTTGTGGACTTTACACAATCACATCATGGGAAACGCTTAAAGAAATTTAAGTTCAACATAAATACATATATATATATATATAGATATATATATGTACATTGCTTTGAAGCTGGCTTCTGCAGAAGCAGGGTAAGCCACACAGCACAGGCAAGTCACTGCTGGGGGGTTAATCAGGGAACAAAATGACCACCTGTTTATGCTAAGTGATGAGGAAACTCTCACTCAGCTGATTGGTGCATTTGCGTAGTAACTATTTCTGGTTGCAGTCGCCTGATTGCTCTCCTGGAAAATGGTGACTTGAGCAAGGAGATGTAGTTGTTTTCATTATTACACTTGTTCACCAGAGTTGCTGCCTGGTGGCGGTGAAATGACAGCAGGATCCGCCACGGAATCTGGACTCAGAAATCCAAAGTCATTTTATCATAAGTAAGCTCTCGTCAACCATAACACTCACAAATAGGGACCGTTAATTGTAGGCAAGTAAATAATTACAAGTGCATTTGGTAATGATACTGATAAAAATACATGGAAGCATTTGTACTTTGACTCATACAGATAAAAGCAGACTCATAAGCCCAGTCACACATCAGATATACTGAAAGCACACATACATGAGCACATTCACACAAACACATGCACACTGGTTGTTTGTGGCATCTGTGAGCTTTCTCCCGCTGCATGCCGACTGTATGTCTGGCACTGGGGTTAAAGTCTAGAGCCACACACAAGCTGTGTACTCTCTGTGGCTTTTACACACTCTGAATGGGCTTTATGAATGGCTGGAGCTCAATGACTGAGTCAATATCAGAGGCTACATTCAGCCCAATCCGACAACAGGTTTTGGAGATAAGTCAGAAAACAACATTCTCCCAGCGCAGCCAGGAAGCATGTTTAACTTAATATGCCACCAGCTTTTCTTTTGTTTTCCACTGCAAACATTACACTGGGGAGTGTGTCAACCCATAGATGTGCTGCTTGTTTGCAATTCTGGGCGAATAGAAGCGCTTTTAAACAGCCCTCTGCAGTGTCTATGTATACAAAGGACACATGCTTGTGTATGTGTTTGTGCTCTCATTGTCCCATAAAACTGTGTGTGGCCTTATGGCTGCATTAAACCCAGCTCTCGACATTGCGTGGAGCCAGTGACTGACAGCCTATCAGTGAGGGAAGGTGGAGGCCTTCGTTCACAGCCATGTGCCCTCAGCCAAATGTACACAGCTTGTCCAATTCCTGACCATCCCAAAAAAAAAAAAACATTGCTCAGCTACTGTACATACAAAAGGGCTACAAACATGAATGAACAGACCTCTCCCAAGCCCTCACCACTTCTCAATTAACAGATCCAGCACTCGATTCACATTCAGATCTGAATCCAGGCTGAAATCTGGTTCGACAAAGGGGGCTTTTGGAGGGGTAAGAGGGCGGAGGCCGGACGATAGGGTTTCAAGCCAATCAGCGGCATCGAACGGTGTTGGAGCACGTCGTTTCCGTGACTTCCCAGTGGATGGCAGCGGCGAGGTACAAATGGGGGGCGGGGGCAGAACAGGGACAACCTGGCTTGGGTTTATAAGAGCCGGAGATGGAGGAAGCTCCAGCAAAAGGGAAGAGCAAAGAGGTGAGGGCAGGAAGTTGTCATCCTTGTTGTGCTGCTGGAAAGGTTGGGATTGTTCAGTTTTAGGGGAATGAGAAGGATCGAGGGATGAGTGGGCAGAGGATTTATGATCAAAGACGTTAACAGAGCCTGGAAGAGGGGCAATAAAAAGGGATTAGACACAGGAAGAAATATGAGTGTCATTTCAGTTTTATTCTTAATTAATTGTGGGAAACGCACCATCACAAGTAATAGGCTCATCTAGAATGTCGTCAATCGACTGTCGAGGGTCCATCTGTTGCCAAGGGAGAGAAAAAGATACTTGAGTCTCAGTGTGACAAAATAACCCTGCCAGTGATCTCCTTTTTGTCTACAGACTCTTACCTGTGCTCTCTGGATAGCTTCCTGTAGTTCCTCCTCTAAGCTGCGAACGCAAGGTAAGGTTTGAACAGGACTTGCAGTAATCTGCACTGGCAGCTCAAAGTCATGGCAAATCACATCACACGGCTGGCAGCTAAACACCTGATTAGAAAGCAGGGGTAAATTAGTTGACAGATGGCGTAGAAAGTATGCTCACATACATGAGAAATGATCTGAAACAGGTGGCACTTCAGAATTCCTCGGAAAAGAATGATTTAAATGCATCTAAAGGTGCGTGTTTACCTGAGTAAACAGCACCTCCGTTTGTGCGTTTTTCTCTGGTTTCCCTCTGGAGCATCCTGGATCCTGTTGCAGGAACGGATGAAGGGGTCCCTCACAGGACTGTTTGAATGGAGGTTGGTAGAAACTCATTAATGAGGCACAATCTACATAGCATCCCCTCCAATAAATTGTTTTCCAAACCATGTGAGACCGAAAAACTGATTGCCTGTCTGTTCTCACCTCTTTGCCTGTGTGCATGGAGCGTTCCCTTGGCCTGCTCCTTATCCTCTCCCTCATCTCAAGCTCCACACTCAGCTCGCGCTGCTGTTGCTGCTGCTGCTCACTCTCACTTCTCCAGGGAGTCTCACACTGCAAGGGTGAGGAGGACGACATGGGAAGACTTGGACTTGGGGTTCCTGAGGCCGTGCTGGCAGGAGCCAAGAAGGCTGTGCTGGTGAGAGCACACTGTTCACCTGCCAGACTGACTGACGCAGCATTTGTAAATCCATTAGAGACGGCGTTCAGAGTTCCAGTTGGAACTCTGTTTGGAGTGTCACTGAGAATCCCATTAGGAGTTCCCTCATTTTGGATGTACAGCTGTTGGTTGGGGCTGCTGCTGCTGGGCGAGTCCGGTCCAGAGCTGGGACTTGAGCCAGGGCTCTGGCTGGGCGGCAGCTGGGGATTGGGAGTGAGGGGCTCCACGCTTGTTCCCAGCTGGGCGGTAGGGGTGAGGCACGCATGGGGGAGCTGGAAGGGACGAAGGCGCTGCAATAAGGCAGGCTTGGTGCCAGAGACGGGGAGGCCACGTTTACGCAGCTGCTGCCTCAATTCCGACACCTGAGGATGGAAAAATGGTGGGGACGGAGCGTCACCGTTTTTGTCTTCACAATGAGTCACAATTCAAAGCATTTCGACGCTTGTCAGAGTAACTGTTTGTCTTTCGGTTCATGTTTTCTTACTGTCAAATCAACAAGGTTTGCAGGCAGAATCTCGGGCTTTGATGCAGGGCTTGTGTCAGCGGGAGTGTGGTTTGTTGTGGCGGGAACAGGCTGGGGATTCAGTGGCATGGCTCCAGAAGACTTTACGAGATCGTTGTGATCTCCACTAGAGAAGAGACGGAAACAATAGCTCAACCAAAATGTATGGGGGTGTTTTTGTTTTTGATAAAACGGAAATCTGTGCAGTTTGATCCATTCGACTCAGCTGACACTCTGCTCTGTGTCTGTGAGCGTACCTGGGTAACACAGTGAGCTGCGGCGATGTTTGTAGTTGCTGTTGCTGCTGCTGTTGTTGTTGATTTTGCAGGATTTGAAGCTGGAGGAAAACCTGCTGCTGCTTCAGCAGATGAGAATAGGCTGGGTCCAGAGTCTGGGAAGGGCTCTTCTGTTTGGCTCCTCCAACTAGATTAAGACATAGCATCACATCAAACGCCGCGCAAAGAAAATGCACAGGTCGTTTTTAGACAAAAGAAGAGCATCGTACCTCCGGACCCAGACCCTCCCCTTTGGTCTGGAGGAATGTACTGGTGATACTTGAGTTTCCTCATTTTGGGTTTGGTGTCCCGCGGTTTCCGTGGGCGAGGCAGATTAAAGTGTAAGGAAGGATGTAGAGATGAGGAGCAGGTGGGGCTGGGAGGCCGAGCTGTCTGTAAACACACAGACCTTCATTATTTTCTGAAAGTGTCAGTGCATTTTACATTGATGGTTTTTGCCTCGTGTGAAATATTTTAAAAGAAATCTGTACATGCTCCACAATTCACCCGGTGGCACGTTGCACTGGTACCAATGTGCACTCGCTTGGCTTGTGTGAGAATATGTTAACCTACATGGCAAATACTGAGCTCCCCTAGAAGCACAAATTGACAGTAATGAATGCAGAGCAGCTTACAGCAGGGCCATGTAATTGAAAAAACAGGGAGGTGATCGTCCTGTAAGGTTAAAGACCTCTACATGGCTTTTTAATGCCTTCTGTTGTACACCTGCTGAGACTGCCACTAAGCAAGCACGTTCACAATGATCATTTGGATACTATTTGATCGCAATTTTTTCTTAGTGAGCCATTAAAAAAAAAGACACATAAATATCCCCTTGTTACCTTTGGCAGTAGGGGAGTGGTCTGAGAAGTCAGAATCATCCCATTTGGTCTCCCAGTTGTTGCCATGGAGTTTGACTCGCCCAGCGTTACACTTATAGGCTGTCTTATGCCAGCAGTTGCCGGGAGCAACGTTAACCCAGACTGAAAGCAGAATATCAGAAAATCAGACTGACACTTGAAGCTATTTTCATAATCATCTCCCAGCTAAAATAAACATGACTGTATTTCTACTTCACCGTTTCAGTTCAAAGTAACTTCCTCCAGCTTTTTCTCACCTGCGCATGGCTGGGACTACAATTAAGTGTCGGACCCACAGCTACGCAGTCACTCAGTGACTGGTCGCCGGGGAGTCCTGTCAGAGAGGAAATGGCTGGTGTCTGGTGAGCGCCATGTTGCTCGGTGGTTGAGGAGGAGGGGGAGGAGATGTCATCTTCGAAGACATCAGCAGGGAAAGGGGCGACACCTGAGGGCACGAAAGGTTTGAGACGGTTAGATTAGAAGGCCAACAAAGGATGTTGGGTGGAGAATCCTGAAACTGCGTGCATCTGTGTTGACTCACGGCTCTCGTGGGGCAGCGCATGTTCGTGCTGATGCTCCACAGATGCAGGTGGACGCTGGATCCTCTCAGCGAGGTCCTGCGCATGGCGAGCCTTCTTCTGCCTCTGGGCTCCACACACACTCCTCTCTACGGGTGGAAGACAAAGGGAGGGATGGTGCAGATGAAAGCAGGGGACAGATGGGAGCACAGCGGAGAGGGACGAGATCGGAAAAGGAGAAGCAACAGGATTTCCGAGCATATGTGATGTGAGCGTGCACAACAGTTTTGGCCGCAGGCGATCAGTCCCAACTCAAACCGGTGGAGACATATCAGAAAATAGTAAACACGCCTACCCACGGGGAAATGTATTCCCCTTGGATATGGACACGCGCTCACTCACAACATTTTAAAATGTCAGGAGGGTAATATTAAGGATATTAGGCATTTTGAAAAGCCAGATAAATAACAGCACAAGGAAAAGTTCAAGGATGTGAGAAGGAGGGGGAGGAGGGGTAAAGAGAGGGGAAAAAGATAACAGAGAGCAAGACGTCACTACTGGCAGAAAATGATGACTCTGATCCCTGGATTGGTGGGTTTATCATGTGCTGTCAGTCACAGATATGTTTGCTGTCTGCTTATAATGCAGCAGCAGAGTGTGCAACAAGGTTACATTACAATTTCACTGACAGCCAATGAAAAGTCCTTGTAGCTAAATTTACACAGTTCATTTCTTTGCATGGTTATCGTCCAGAAGGGCAGATACGATATAACGGAAGAGACTGTGAGTGAAGGTGCATTATTTTGCAGTGCACTGGGAGCAGGAGGGAGACAGGCACACGGCTGTGAGCGTGGTTTTACCTTGTGCAGGTTCTGCGTTCAGACCACCAGGGGGCAACTTCTTAGAGGCACCGCTGTCAGTCAGACGCTGCATCAGGAAAAAGCAGGTCAAATACTCAACTCCAGCATGCACTTAAAGCACAAAACAGCTTTACATTTTTTCCCAAATTTTCCCAATTAATCCCAAGATCATCCCCCCATGTGATCAATGCATTATTTCTGAATGAACAAAAGCAAATCGGGTGTTCTTAGACAATTTCTTAGAGCTTAGATCGAATTTGTCCAACCTTTTGTTTTGATTTGATCTTCATCTTTAGTTTTTAATGTAACAAAAGCATGTATTTTCATGGGAATACCTGGCGTTGGGTACAACTGAAAAACAACATGCCACGCACCTGATCTTCACCTTGGTCTTTCTCAGTCTTTTGAGAGGGACAGGTAGCTTTCAGCCCTATGTAGACACACAGATTGGGTTTATTAAGATAAGCAGGAATGGTACATTCAGAGGAATTTATTTTCTTAATCCAAATATTCTTCCAGTTTCAGGGCAAATGCATTTATATCAGCTTTAGGTACTTGCAGCTTTAATTTATCCCTAATATTTTCTATGAGTGGCATCAGATGGATGCATTGGTGCATTTTGGACATTGTGCACAATTTCACAAATTTATGCCATTTTCGTCTATTAAAATGTATCCAGTTTTTGTTTTTAACCTAATCAAAGCATGCCAGTGTGCTAAGAAATCTGCAAAAAAAGACATTTAGATGATCAATCATCTTTCAGCAAATATAAAAGTAATTTCAGAATCTTTGATGTGAAACAAATCGTTCTGTCAAGGTGATCAATCAAGGTTTATGGTCACTTAAAAACAAACCTGAGTCTGCATTGATTTCACTCAGCCTTCGGTTCTGGATCCTTAACTGAAGCACTGAAAGACAAAATATGAAGAATGAACTTGGTTCCAAATCAAGAAAAATCAGAGGGTAAATAAAAGGATGAAACAACAGAAGAAATTAGGAACAGCCCTCATCCAACAATGAGTTGGACTTATTTCACTGCATGAGAAATACTAAATTGATATGTGGAGACAGATAAGCTGAACTGTACAAAGGTAAAGTGCAGTAATGTGAGACAGCCTGCTCGCTGTTAAATGATATGGCCTTGAAACTCATATTACCATGGTATTTGCATTGCTTCTAGCCTATATATCTCTTTGAATGCCTGCCCTCTTCTGCACACCACATAAATTCACAGACACATTAAGAATCAGAACACACACAAACAGGTGAAAGAGGGCCAGGCCTGTAACGCGTTTCGGTAAGTATTGAGAACTGAGAGACCTGAGAAGGGGAGGGTAGGACTGCATGAGGGGTTGAGGGCAGTAACTATTTATCTCTCAGTATGTCTATTTCTGTTGGTCCCATCCCCCCTTTCAGCTGTCCCACTCTCTCCACAAGCCTCTCATGCATCCTCTCCCACTCACGTCATGCTCATTTATGTTGCTAACTATACTCTTCCTGCTTTTTCTGCCTCTCTGACAGCTCAGAATCAAACTTTACCAATCCATCATTGATCATTTTACCCATACTACGATGGGAGGCAATGTTTGGCAGCTAGGTTTCGGTCATGTGTGCTGTTTTTGCACACAAAAGTTAAACTTCAGTTTTCTAGTCATTGGTTTTCACGTTATCCTGTAATATTGTTGTTGTTCGGGGACTACGTCCTACATCTGATATCAGGACATGTCAGGGTTCCAGTGGAGCAGCTCACAACTCGTGATGGCGGTCCGTCAAACATTTTTTGTCAAGGGATTAGAATTTTAACAAATTTAAACAATTGTGAGCTCAGTTTTCACATTACATTTTGATGCTTACTTCTGAAACGATTTGTGCCTGAGGTAAAAAAAAAAAAAAAAAAAAGGTAGAAGCTGGAATAAATGATTGCTCCGGCTCCGGCTCAGTATGTACATTAATGATTTCAAACAGAGCAGCTGCCTAAAGAATCATGTTTTCCAGCAGCTGCTTGTATACCTAGGGAACCGTCTGTGTGTCATTTCCTTGCCTTTCTATTTTGCAGCCGTTTACGACAGCCGCGACAACTTGTTGGAAAACTAGCGTTACATTATGCAGCGACAGAAAGGTTGCTGTTTGTCACAGAGCGTTGGATGTGTTCGGAGTATTAGTACAATGTCATGGCTCACGGATTTTTTGTAATCCATTCACAGAGAGATTAACATCAGAGCTGCTACTGATTATATATAGGTGCAATTTTTGGATTACAGTCATATTTTGCACCCTTAAACGACCCATTTTACACCTAGGATTTTCCTCTTTTCCTTTAGTGTGTTCTTTCAGCAGTGCGCACAGTGCTAAAGGGACTCTTTAAACTGCAAAAACACAAAAGGCCTACCACACAGAGGCTTCACTTCATCTTCATTATTCCATGAATCTTATAAGAGAGAGATTCTGAAGTTAAATCAATGATAGAATTCAGTCATCCCTGTCCAGCTTAGACTGTGGAACCGTTACAAGGACTTTCATGAAGTTGATGAGAGTTTCATCTGTCAACAATGGAGATCAGAAACGTTAATAATTTCCAAATTCTGTTATCAGCAAAGTGCATCTTATCTCAGAAACATTGTCTCATTTAAAAATAAAGATGAATCTCATGCAAGGTGTCTTAGGAAGGTGAGTTTTCTATTTTTTTTTATTTTATTTGTTCAACCACTAAGTGGTAATCATAAAAATTGAACTGATGAGAGTGACCTAGAGGGCCAAAACTGTCCTCGGCATAGTATAGCACAGCTCCGCTTTGTTTTCTACCACAGAGAGTAAGCACGTTTACATGCACAGGTGAGTCAAGCCCCCAGCTACAGTTTGACCGAGTCCTTGTCCTTGTATCGGTAGAGGTGCACTGGAGGGGAATCGAGTTATTGACTTCAGTACGTCCAGCACAGGGACGCCATCGACTGAATCAGAAACTTACTGGATATTCTTTGATGTTCTTTCTCAATGGGAAATCATTGTGCCTGTGAGTATAACAGAATTCCTACTCAGACATTATCTTTAAGGTGCGTGCTGATCTAATCAGATGATGCTTAGCTTGTAAAATCAGACTGGAGAGAGGCTGCAGCGTGGAAAGGCTTCAAGTAACTGTGGCTTGACACATACGCTTTAAGAGCTGATTTCAGTCAGAAATTCTGACCTATGACAAATGAATCGGTACATAAGAGCACCTTTATTGGGAATTTGTTTCTGCATTATTATACACTTAAGCTTTATTTTCTTTACAATAAGGATGCATAGAGACAAAGAATGGAGCAGGGATTGTGAGCCCAGATGAGCAGGTACAATGATTATATTTGATTTGTTCACATTTTTCTGTGTTTGTCTGGTATTCAAAAGTTCAATTTCACACTAAAATGTTAACATGCATTTCAAAACTAAACAGACTATACAAGAATTCCCTTGGTGTCATTTAAACCTGCTTAGAATCAGCTCAATGGGGGGAAAGATCAGCTGCTTATCATCACAGCGCCATGTGAAGTGGTGGCGGCGCAGACCGTGCCACAGACCTCCCCGTGTGTGTGTGAGGGTTGTCGGTTTATTGCGAGACTGAGAGGTGTTTGACATATTTTCAAAGTGAGCCTGACAACTGTGCTGAACAGAGCTGCCCCCAGTCAGCTGAGGAGAAAAAACAAAACGTGCCGTCTCTATGCTGTTTCATGCACATTTGTAAGGCGTGCGTGAACACAGGTGGGATATCCATGTCTCGTCTCCAGGTCTCTTCCGCTGTTTTTCAGTCTGTTTTTCAAATGGTAATTTCCCTCAAAGAAGGACGCCACTGCTGCAGACATACCGCTTTACACCAAAAAGAAAAGACTCTTTGACCAATCCAAAAGAGGTGAACCATAACTTTTTGGAACTGGCTTGGCTCACTTAAAACAAGAATGCTTGTCTTTGAGCGAGCCAAACTCAAACAGTTTTCATCATTTGTGGCCAATCGTAGACCAGGATTTTTGTTGTTCAAATTGTCAACAGCAACAACTGACTGATTAAGGCAGACGTGTACTGAACATTGAACACTGTTTTCATAGACTTCCACAGAACAGTTGAGGGTGGAAATTACCGTCCCTTTAAATATACATTTCAAAATTAATTTTGAATTTCATCCCCTTTTAGCTGAGACAAACAGCAAATAGAATATTTGTGTGAATATTTACAGGTAACGTCAGACGGCGATGTGTAAGTGCCACATTAACGCCGTCTGGATAACATTGGACAAACTTTGTGCATACCCGTAAACATTTGGGACACATGTTTGGCCAAATGTTCTAAGGCCGCATTGACCACAATGATGAGTCAGTTTCAACTGTCACCTTTTCATTCAGTGTCTTTCGACTGTTGCTGATGAATGTTTTACATGATAAAGGTCTAAAACCATGTTTTTGTGGTCTTTGAATGACGAATATTCCTTTTTCCAATACTTCTAAACATAAAAGTAAGTGCTAAACACTGAAAAGCAGTGTTCTTCATTCTCAGGGTCACCTGTGTTTACGTCTTATCGAAACATCTCTGTCCATCTAAATCCTCCCTCTGCTGTTTGCAAAATGCCACTGACCTTGAGGAGGCAACCTTGGCAAACACGTCGCCTTTGTATAATGATGTTGCAAACCGTCAATGAGATGTAAAGCCACTGATGTAGTGAAATAATCCCCCTCCTGCTTCAAGTGGCGTGATTGATGCCTGCTTGATCCTCACCTGAGCGGAACTTGTTCCGGATGAGGAGAGACCTCTCAGAGGCCAGCAGAGTCATGGTGGAGAGGAGGTCGCGGCGGCGTGAGGAAGTAGAGCAGAGAGAAAGAGGAAATTCCTGGCGTCGCCCTACCAGGAGGAATGGGCCCCTCTCCTTCTGTCTCTTGGCTCTAGGAATGCATTAGAGCGGCGGAAGCAGGAAAGACAGAGAGACAGATGCTTGTTAATCCACTGATGGACAAAAACCCATATTGATAGAGACACACAAAGCACCGCGGAGCTCCACGGTGGGGGAAATAGAGACGTCTCGAACCTAAAGGCAGACCAAACTCTGTAGTGAACAGTTCTGGCAACAGCAGGGCTCTCTATAGACAGCCTGTCATAATCACACAGAGTCACAGAGGCCCACCCACAGGCAGAGACGGAGTTAACCACAAGGAGTTGCACAGACAAGAGACCGAGCGAGGAGCCAGGGAGGTGGCGTGAGTGACAGAGGCAGAAACCCCGGTAGATAACACAGGCGTCAGGGCAAGAGGACACTGATTGTGACGGACAAACATGAACTCACAACAGCTATAGCGACGCACAATACATTCAGACTGTGACAGCAGGACCAGAAATGTGTTGAGCTCCCAAAGAAAAGGGCTGACTCTCATAGAGAGCGAGCTGGGAATCTACATAAGCTGCATTAGTGCGCACACGCAACCTATTTACAATATCGATCTGAGGTGGCCAGCAGCAGAACACCCAGTGGAAGGCTGTTTGAGGCGAATGTACAAACACACACACACTCGAACGAAACTACACACACGCTTCGGGAAAGCTCAGGTTATGCATACTAATTCATCGCGGTGTTCTTACAGTTTCCAATATGATTAACATACACTTGTTTGTGACAGAAAGAGTCCAAAGTGAGGCCACTGTTGCAATCAAATAACAAAAGCTGATTGAGATTTCATGTCTGACGGTGGCATTTTTTCACTGCAGGGCACCCAGACACAAGAAGACACAGAAAAAAACAGAGAGAATGAAAGCAGGAGAATGAAAGAGAATACTTACAGGAAAAGGGAGAATTGAGTCCCCCGGGGGAAATTGGAGTGGATTTAAGATTAAATTGAGAGAGGTACAAGGCTGAGGAAGAGAGGGAAAGAGAGAACTTCGAAGAGTGTTTAATGACGATTTCTTTCTTTCATGTTCTTATGTCCTTTTTTTTCCTTTCGCCACTTTCCCACACTTTTTCAGTTTCTATGATTTTTCTCAAAGGTTTCGGCTGGTGGAGAAAAAGGCTCTGTGGCTCCCTCGTCCCCTTTTGATAGAAACCTCTCCCTACCTCTGCCTTGGCCCCTCTGCCCCTCTCCCCGTCCGCCCCAAAGCATCCTGGATCTTTGGTGCCAACTGTGAGGAACTGTCAAACCTCCCCCCTCCCCCCTCCATGTGAACTGCTCGTGCACCCCCCTCCCATCTCTCCAAGCCAGTCACCCTCCCTGACACCTGCTGGCTGGCTGAGTGGGACAAGACAGCGTGCGTTCGTGCGTCTGTTTGTACTTGACTTTGACAAAGGTGGAACCTGTGATGAAGTCAGAGCAGTTCCTTAATGCGAGGAGCTGAACTGACACATAATGTGATGGAGAGAGAAGTGAAAGCAGGATAAGGAGACACTTTATTGCACAGCAATAAGAGAAGCCCGGGAGTGTTTTGGACTCACATCAAATCATGTACTTGAGCAGGGCTGCAGGCTCATATGCTCCTGTCAAGTTACCTTTGGGTCACCCTCTCAAAGTGATTTAGTAATGCGTGTACGTGTGTGCGCGACACCGCAGAAAGTCACAGGTCAGTAAGTCAGTGTTGGTCAGCACATTTCAGAGTGTGGATCAGCGGCGGTGCCGGGCAAAATCACCGGCTTTCCCCCTTCTTGTTCAAGCTCACCTGAGCAAGTGTGTAGGGGAGTGTTGGCGTGCTGGTTACACGTGGGCACGGCGGCTTTGGGCAGCCGAGGAGGAAAAGTGGGGGAGGTGAGGCTGTAACTGGAGCACCTGTTCCATTGGTTTGACAGACAGGCCGGCGTGTGCTGGTTCAGCAGGTCATTGAGAAGGGAAGGGCGGCGGAGAAGTTGAGGCAGGAAAAAGAAAGAGAAAAGTTGGTGAGGAGGGAAGGACAGGAAGAGAGCTGATAGGAACAGAGAGAAAGAAGGAGGTAGCAGCCATTTTATCCGATGTGGAGAGGATGACGGTGATGTGGGGATCCACTAATCAGAGCACATGGGGCAGAGATAGAGCTGCATGGACCAATTAAGGTTGCCATGGAACAAAATGGAAAAACTAATAGGCCACAAAATGAATGGGAACCTAAATTTAATAGATGGTGGTAGACAGACTGCTTTACCAGGTGCCATCCACCCACTCCGTCTGAGTGGTTGTAAAATCTCCCCTTTGACAGCCTTCTCGCTCATTCACTGTAGGTGCGTTTCACACACACAGAACACACACAGAACACACACAAACACAGACCGCACTGACAGCATGGCACATTATTGTTGGAAAGGTGATGTAATTGCTTTTTCCTCTGGTTACCCACCACAGCAACAACCTCTCCTCTGCAGCCGGGACTCCCTTTCTGATTAACACCTGTTACCCTCCTTCTGACTCTCCCTCCCTCCTCGTATTTCAAACACACGCACAAATGCGCACAGAGACTTCACAGCGGTAACCCTGCACTGTGTAGGCTGAGACAGGAGACACGGCCAACCAGAAATTTCTCGTTTCTCTGTGTGATTCCCAACTTATTCATGTTTTTATACAGTTAATAGAGAGCCTGTGTTTTTTCTAAAATAACTTTTTTATGTCCAAGGTTTTAGTAACAACACAAAGGAATAGTGTCTTAAATGTGGTGTATAAAACCTCAGATGACAAACAGAGACTTATAACCTTAACATGATATGTCAAAACAATGATTATGGTTTTCTAAAATGTTAACGGTGCTGCCAGTCACGTGCATTTAAGTGATTGACTTTAAGCAGGTGTGAGCACCTCTTCATACGTAGGTACAACAGTTTCCTGGCCTGTGCCAGGGCAGGGGCTCATCAGCAGTGAGCTCAGAGACGCAATTGCAATCTGGACGTCATCATTCCACAGTGAGAAACATTTTTTCACAAGCACATGTTCATGTTCTTGGAAGAGGACAATGATCCCAAACACAGACAGGCTGAAGAAGAAAATGTGTTGCGGTGGTCTGGTTAAAGCTCAGACATGAGCAACGCTCAGATGCTGCACCTTCTGAGAGCTAAAGCAGAAAGAAAAGGACTAAATTCCTCCACAGTGATGTGGGGGACTGTCAATGTTTTGCATATAATGATTATTACAAGGATATTCTGCTATAAGTGGTCCTACAAACTGTCCGATGAGAGTATACGTTTAGATTTTCAGACACTGCTTCTACGTTAAGTTTTAGTTGAATAAATAATGACGCTGTTGTTCTCTTGATGCTGTATGTAGCTGATTTTTAGATCTGGTAAGGACCTTTTTTAATACTGTTTCCTCATACATATAACCTTAATATCAAAAGAGACTTCTTTTTTGACAAGACTTTGAGGATGAATAGGTGAATTCATATTTATGTAAAAATCCTCCCCCTGGCTTCATTGTATGTGCAGAGTTCGAGTGTAGCTCCTGCTCTTCAAAGGCTCTCTGTCTCCTGCTTTTCACCCTGGTGTGAGTATCCTTCCACCATTTGAGCGAGCTGAGGCATAGGGAATGAGCCCAGCACTTGCAGCTCATTATAAGTAGGAGTGTGCCCTCATATGGCTGAGCTGTGCAACAACAGGCACGTCTGGTAGCCAAATATAAATTTATGGTACATATATTTGTGATTTATTTAGTTTTCCACCATGTTGCTTTTCAGTTGTAATAATGGAACTTCTGATATACCAGAGCTGATGCACAAAAAAATAAAACACATCGGGGGCGCAAATGTATAAAATAGAATAAAAAGGTGTAATATACAAGTCTTAACACACTTCATTACATCTGCTGCCTCTGTGTGGTCATTCATCACCGGATCTATTCTCGTCCCCCCTCTCCAGTCCTCTACCTTTATCACTTCAATCACTTGGCAGGGTGCCTCGTGCCACTCAGACGGGCCCTCTGCCCGTTCCACTTCACGCAACAACAGGCATAGTCTCACACACATGCACACAGGCAAATTTCCAACACCCACGCTCCACACATTTGTCCCCGCTGCGTCCATCATCCATCTGTCTGTCAGTCACCCCACTTTGAAGATCCGCGCGGCCTGGAAAGTTACCAGCCAGCACACACACGGATGCATGCGCACTTTACAATGCACACACAGGCCCAACTGGTCTGTTGGTCTCACACTCTCAGCCAACTGAATATTCATCGTCTTCACCGTGCACCGAGGACCTCGTAGGATCGGCAATGCAGCAGCCTGGCGGTGTGTCCATCCAGGGTGCAGAATCTTCTCTTTTTTTCCCCAACCGAAAAGCACCAATTTCCCAGATCAAATCTCAGTGACCCAACCCATGTGGAACACCCCCAAGCAGAGCGTTAGCAACTGTTTGTTTTTCTCTTTTTTTGAGAAAGAAGGTGCTTATCTGTCGTGCAAAGTCCTACTTTACTGTAAGAGCGAGAAAGAAATTAATTGACTTTCATTCAAAACGTCCACTCCTGTAGTTTCTCTAGGAGTATTCGAAGCTCCTTTCTAAAGCGGCTGGCACGCCAGGAAACAAAGAACACATGGTTTGAAAAACAAATCCCATAAAAAAGGACAAGATGTCAAATGTTAGGTCTTTGAAAATTGTAAAGTCATTTGCTCTTGTTTGTTTTTCTTTGAAGAAAGATGCTCTAATTTTGAATTTCATGCCAGTAAAACGTTGTAGCAGGTAACACAAAGGATGATCTGTGTTGTCTTGTTCAATAATAAGAATGATGATGCAGTGATAACAAAGAAAAGCAGGTCTGGAGAAGCAATTCACTGTGTGTGAACAGAACAGAACATCCCTGGAAGTTTCAGTCTTTCAGAGGAAAAGCGGAGACAATTTTTCTTTATCTCTATGAATAATTATGTGTGCAAACAGTTCGGCACTTCAAGTCGGTTATATTGCGCGTCTCGGTATAATTACACAGAAATAGGGGATTCTTCATCTGTGGTTCAATATGTCACTCAAAGACACCCAAGTCCCCAGAAGACAAGGCAGTATCTATGATTAAGCAGCCACGGTCTTTGGGCCCTCAGGCAGCACCAACTTTAACCTCACAATGCAAAGGGAGAGAAATTTATTACAAATATGCAGATCTGATAGCTGCTCATTAATTTTGAAGCTGAATTGAAAAAGCTGTTCTTCCCTAGAAAAGAAATTATTCACCAGCTCAAACGCCGCTAATCTCATTGTTGAGCATCCGAAACATTCACTATACAAAACAGGAGGCATTGTCCCTTGTAAAACTAAAGAATTTTGGTTTCCTCAGTTTTAAATATGTTCACATGCTGCTAAAGTACTGAGAAAACAGATAGTGAAACATATAAAAGTACCCCAACTATTTTTATCTCACTCAGAACATTTTTAGTTACATCACTGCGTTTTATACAGGTTGTGGATTCTTGTTTTAGATAAATTCATGTACTTTGCCCTTTGCTCCGTCGAGACTCAAAGTGACCTGAATCGCATACATGCACATAGAAAGACTTCATACTGAGCAGCAGTTGCTCTTTTGCACAAGTCCTGGCACCATTCTTATAGTTCAAACTGTTCATCTTGCTCTCCCTACTACAAATGTTACTTTCACTGCAAACAAACTGGTCGGTAAACCTTTGTTCCTCCCTCTCTGTACACATCTGCCTCCTTTCACCAACCTTCTGTTAGAGGGAGTTCACCAAACTAAAAGACAGTGGAGTGCAACATGGGCCATTCAGCAGGCCAGAGCTTCTTTATTTGTGCACTGGTCAGTGAAGACATACAAAAAGGGGCATTAATGATGACCAGAGCAGCTCTATTGAGCAGTACAGTATTTAAAAACTTATCTTGAGCTTAGCTCTGTTAGGATCCGTAGCTTAAATGGAGCAGAAAATTGAAAGAGTGCAAAAAACAGAGGGCTGCATTACTAGCTCTATTACTCCCTGGAGGCAGTCCAAGAGGCCAGCTTTAACACCCAACCAGTTACACTTATGTTAATCTTTTTTCCTCACAAAAATACATGTAAAGCCTCCTCTCTGGTGATTAATGTGGAGGAGAAAATCAGGTCTGAGGATCAGTTTGAACTTAAGGAGATAAGGACTCTTGCTGTGATGTTCATGACCAAAAAGAACACGGCGTGATCACAATCTTTTTAAGTGTAAGTCGTGTTAGATAAATATTTCAATCTTTAAAGCAGCTTTATGACAACGTTGAAAAAAAAACTACATAGAGAGCTGGACAAAGACTGAGTTATAGCTGTGAAGTTTTTATTCCAATAAGTTAACATAATTCATCCTTTAAAAAAAAAACTCAGAAGGAAGTGTTTGCGTTAGAATCACTCAGAAACATTTGGTCAAACTCTTACAGGTTATGATTTAAATACACAAAAACCAACCGCTGCAACTAAATAAAAAGAAAGCATTTTCATTCACAATGTAAAAAACAAAAATCTGAATTTAAATAAAGTAAGTGCAAATGCCTCACAGTGTCTTTGACCATAGGAAAGATTGAATCTTTCAGAAGTGATAGTGCAGGAGTGCAGCTCTTACAAATAGTGCTCTTTATATACAACCAGAGCTGTGATTAGTTTAGAGTAAATAAGCTTCATTCTCTTCCGAGCACTTAAGTGTTTCATCACGGATTGCATGGGAACGCAACTATTCGAGGGCAAGTTAACGTTAGAATTATATTATACGTGAACTTTCCCTTCAGTTTAGGCATCTTTTTTTTTTTCCACACAGAAAGTCGAATTAAAAATCAGGTGTGACTCGGAAGCTTACTTTTGGCCCATTAAATGGAACTATATACATTTATATAAATACTTTGCCGTTAGAAAAACTGAATAAATATTGCAAATGCTCCCTTTTTTTGGACATTAATTGAAGCTATGGAACTGGCTAGAGTTATTTCATCATCAGCCAGCCGACCGGTCCTCCTTCACTTTGGAGTGTCAGGCCTCCATTTCGGACTCGGAGTTGTCCAGCGTGGACACGGTGGAGCTGTACCATTCGGCGCTCTCCTCCTCCTCCTGCATGCCCGCCCCTCCAGAGCCCGGCCCGTCTCCTCTGGCCGGGCCTCCTCTGTCTTTCCTCTCATTCAGCATTTCCATGGCCACCTGGTGGTAGGGGTGTTTGCGTTTGGTGTGCCGGCGGAGGGTGTTGCGCTCGGCGAAGCGCGTGTGGCAGAGTTGGCACTGGTAGGGTTTCTCCCCCGTGTGCACCCTCTGGTGGCGCTGGAGCTCCCCCGCCTCCCTGAAGCGCTTGGCGCAGATGGGGCACACAAAGTTCCTCTGGCCCGTGTGGATGTGCTTGTGTCTCTGTTGAAAATGAATGATAAACACACCGTATAACTACACATGTGTAACTACACTGTAACTACTGTTAGAGCCACTGAAAACCACCCACTTTAACAAAGACGTTCAAAGGCAGTCTAAATGGAGTCGTAAAGAAAAACTTTTGGGAAAAAAGAGCAAAGACGCAACGGCAATTTATGCCGGCGATGGACGAACTAATCAGAATATTCTCTGTAATCAGGTTCAGCAAAACAATGCGTGTGTGGATTTGCACACAATCAGCATGATAAGAGCCAGAGGCCTGGAGAGAAATAAGAGGAGAAAACTGGATTTGGAAAAGGTGAGGGCTGTCACATATCTGGGAAAACAGCGTGTTGCCCAGATTGTTTAAACTATTACATCTACTTTCAGACATATCAATATCTTTATCTTAAATCTTTGTACCATGACAGAAGTGTGCCTTTTATTTCGTGGATCTCACAGCACCATCTGCCAGGTGCCATTTGACTTTTTTGGAAGTAAAGTAACCCGGCAGAACTTCTGTTTGTCCCACTCTTATAGGTAAGCAGGTCTTCACACAAACCCAGATGTTTTCCTTTGCTTTTCTGAAAGTTTCAAGACAAAACAGAAATTCCTAAAATTCCAATTTCAAGCTAAAAGAGCAAGAGTGGGAAAATAGACCAGTGCAAAGTACAGGAAATAAGACAAGCCGTGGTTACCAGTTGACTGAATCATAGCACACAGCTTCAATGAGTGAAAACGACATGGCAATAACCCATGTTTTGTTTATTCCTCACCTGAATGTCCATAGTGTGTCGTTGTAGTTGATAAAAATACTGTTATTATTATATATTCTTAGTTATATCTACACGTTTGTAAGATGAGGACTGAAAAACATTGTCAGATCGTTTTGAGTAAGGCTTGATTTCAGATCTGAAGCTGATTTCCTGTTCTTTCTGGATTGAAAACCAAAATAACCATAACCACATCAGCACACTGATTAACCTCCTGAGACCCCAGCTATTATTTGGTGTGCATTTTTGCTTTTTTCAAGATATATGGGATTAGTACAATCTAATAAATTTGTCATGGTACAGGTAGTTGTTCTTCGTATAGGCTCAGTGGGTTTATCTTTATATTTAAAATGCTTGTTTATGTATCTAATTAAATGTTATTGAAATTTTGTTCTGACAGTCCAAATGACTTATTTACAGATGCTTAATTAAGCAATAAGAACATTATTGGTTGAAAATGTATAGAACCTATTTAGTTTAGAGTGTCTGATAGCGTCTGCTATGAGGCCAAGAGGTCAAAGTTGAAAGAAAAAAGAAGTATCATGGTAAAGAGAGGCAATAATGCTATGTCCTCCTATGAGGACGCAGGGTCTCAGGAGGCTCAAAATTTAGATGATCCTGAGCTACAGCTCCCACTCCCGGGTGACTCCTGCCCCTTGGGGCTGCTGGTTCATGGAGGCGGTGTTGGGCGCGGCGCTCACCTGCAGGTGGCTGGAGCGTTTGAAGGCTTTGCCGCACTGCTGGCAGACGTGGGGCTTCTTCTGCGAGTGGGTGATGGCGTGGCGCTCCAGGTCGGAGAGGTAAAAGAAGATCCGCGGGCACAGCTGGCAGCACAGCACCCTGCGGGAACCCAGAGTGGTGGGAGACTCCGCGGGGGACAGCGGGTCCAGGGCGTCCAGGGAGTCCAGTTTGCCTGAGGGGAGCATGGGCCCCAAGGGAGGGGAGGGAGGAGCCGCCATGTTGGAGAAGTAAAGATGGTCGTCCAGAGGTAAGTGTTCGGAGTGGAGGACTGAGGAGTCAAACTTAGGTTCTGAAGCTGGTGATGGGGCCTCTGCCTCCGCGGCGGGTTGAGCGGGGGGGTCACACGCTGCAGGCTGCGGCCGGGGCGAGGGGGCCGCAAAAGCTAATGGCTTGCTGTCTTCACTTGAGGCTTCTTCAGCAGATATGGCTTCGCTTCCGGGGTTCGATTCCGAGTAGCTGATCTGAGTCTGAACGAGGGGGGCCGCGACCTGGTGCTCGTCCTGCGGGGCGAGGGCGGACGAGGGGACGGTCAGCGAGGCGAGGACGGGGCCGGAGGTCAAGTTATTGACGCCCGTCAGGATGATGGGGGGGTTGTTGGGGCTCAGTCTGATGACAGGGTGGGAGAGCAGGGGCAGGGGTGATCCCAGAGAGCCGACCGGACCGGAGGACAGAGGGAGGGAGACCGGAGCCGGGGCCGCGGTGATGTGGGACAGCTGACCGGTGGAGGGGTCCAGGACGGCGATCTGGGCGGAGGTAGAAGCGGGCTCGCCGGGCGAGGATGGCGCCGACGAGAGGAGGAGGAACATGGGAGCGGAGGCCCCCGCTGAAGAGTGCGGGACGGGGAGAGGGAGGGAGAGGCTGACCGGAGCTGAGGCCAGCTGGGCGGAGGGGGGCGGAGACAGGAGGAGCAGGGGAGGGTGGGCTGCTGGACTCGGGAGGATCTGAATGGGCTGGGAGGGGAGCGGGATCCCCGGGAACGGGGACACGACTGGACCGGCCCCGTCCACAGCCTGACCGTCGGGTTCTGCTGCCCCGGCAGAATCTGAGTTATTTATCACCCCCTCCGGCGCGTCCGTCTCCTCAGCGCCTCCCGCCGATGCCTCGCTAGCAGGAGAAGCTGAGGGGTCAAAAGAATCAGAGGGTACTGTTAGTGCATCGTCCAAACTCTGGCCGAGGCCCCGGTCGGCCAGCGGCGGCCCCGTTTCTCCGGCCTGCTCCGGTCGGCCCTCCGCCGTGGAAGCACTGACTTGCGGCACTTTGAACCCGTCCGGGCTGAGAGTGTACGGGATTCCCTGGTCATCGATGAGGAGGAGGTTTTCGGTGTCAGGGGACGGAGACGTCGGGCCGGAGGTAGAAAGCAAAGCGGGGGACAGCAGAGGCGGGTCCAGCAGGAGCCCCGGATCCCCGTCATCCTCCTCCACCGTGTCCCTGTCTCCGTCTCCCTCGTACTCATCCACCTCCATGATCAGCGGGCCCTCGCAGCCAGAGTCGTCCAGCAGCCGGCCGCACTTCCTGTCCCGGCCCTCTCGTCTCTTAGGCAGGCTCAGGTCCAGCGGCTCGGTTTGCTCGTCCATTTCTGTTTCAGCAAACGTTTTGAAGGACTTCAAGTTTATTTCTTCTAAAATGAAAGGAATATTTTGCTCCATTTCCCTCTCTGTGGATTCTTTTGTGAGGCCCTGACGGCTCAGTACTTTAACCGAGTGTGTGCTGGGGATAAAAGCAGCCTCTGACCCGTTCACGCGGAGGATTTTAACATTCAGAACTCCTCCGTCAGTGCTAATTCTATCCCCCTTCTTTGATTCTGTCTCATGCGAAGACTCCACTTCAGCTTCCTCCTCAGTCTTTTGACACGTAACCAGGATGTCTCCTTCATTTTTGAGAGCTGATATGTGGATCTGACTCCTGCTTCTCTCTGTGATCACTGCCCCTGCAGAGACCAAAACAGGCCCTTTAAAACGTGAGCGAACACAGTCTTTGGTCAGGCTGATGGCAGAGTTTGTGATTGGCCTCTTGCACCGTGGGGGAACAACAATTTTGATTCTGATTGGCTGCCTGCGCAGAACAGGCACCCCAGTCTTTACTGTAATTGGCTGTCTGAAGCCACCAATCCTGGTTTTTCCCTGAGAGGCTGGCTTGGAAGTCCCGCCCTCCTCTGGCTTTTTCCCATTGATTGATTGAGCATCCTGTCTGACGGCCTCCGCGGCCCGGGCCGGACAGGGCTTGAGGCTACCTGGTTTAGGGCTGCAGGAAATGTTATCCTTTGGGTCCAGAAACACCTCTGCCACTGGCTCTGATCCCTCTCCACACCGGCTGCCATTTTGGACTTCCTGGCTGCCACTGGTCAGGACTGAGGCCAACTGAGAATCCATTTTGGGGCATACCTGTTTTTACTTTCATAAAAAGAAATAAAAGCAAAATAATAGATTAGAATACCAGAATAGTAAAGTGATATTAAAATGGAATACAGTTAGAGATATGCAGAGGCTAAATAGTGATGAAGGAGGTGTCATTAATTCTGAGTTGGTTGGTGAAAAAACTAAATGGTAATAACTGGGGACAGGCCAGTCCTCCTCACAGATACTGGGATGTTAGCAGCTGTCTATTCAGCCAAACCGCGCATCCTCTGACCGAAATGATGAGCGACGTGATCCCTCTTCCTCAACGTCAGATCGCCCTGATAATTCTGCTGTTTGCCTCGTGTTCTCCTCAATTCTA